CAGGTCAAAGGCACAGAAAAGATTTTCATTAAATCAGAGAAGAAAATTTCCCCAACCTAAATAAAACCTGTGCCTATTAAGGTACAAGAAGCATACAAAACATCAAATAGACTGGAGCAGAAAAGAAATTCCCCTTGGCACATAATAATCAAAACACTAATCATACAGAATGCTGTGGGATGGTCTGTATGTCAAATGTGTTGCTGATTAGTCAATAAATAAATCACTGATTGGTCAGTGGCCAGGCAGGAAGTATAGGCGGGACTAACAGAGAGGAGAATTGAGAGAACAGGAAGCTGGGTGAGGGAGACACTGCCAGCCGCCATCAGGACAAGGAAGATGTAAAGTACCAGTAAGCCACAAGCCACGTGGCAAGGTATAGATTAATAGAAATGGATAAATCACTGATTGGCCCGTGGCCAGGCAGGAAGTATAGGCGGGACAAGGAGGAGAATAGAGCTGGAAAGTGGAAGGCTGAGACAGAGAGACACTGCCAGCCGCCATGATGAGAAACAGCATGTAAAGATGCCGGTAAGCCACGAGCCATGTGGCAAGGTATAGATTAATGAAAATGGATTAATTTAAGCTGTAAGAACAGTTAGCAAGAAGCCTGCCACGGCCATACAGTTTGTAACCAATATAAGTCTCTGTGTTTACTTGGTCGGGTCTGAGTGACTGTGGGACTGGCGGGTGAGAGAGTTTGTCCTGACTGTGGGCCAGGCAGGAAAACTCTAGCAACAACAGAACAATGGAAGAATATTAAAGCTGGGCGGTGGTGGTGCATGCCTTTAATCCTAGTATTCAGGTGGCAGAGGCAGGCAGATCTCTGTGAGTTTAAGGCCAGCCTGGGCTAAAAAGTGAGTTCCAGGAAAGGCGCAAAGCTACACCCTGTCTCAAAAAAACAAACAAACAAACAAACAAACAAAGAACAAAACAAAAGAATATTAAAAGCTACAAGAAAAAAACTAAATAACAAAGGAAGGCTCACCTGAATAATGAAAACTTATTCAGAAGACTCTAAAAGCCAGAGGGCCTAGATAAATGTTCCACAAACTCTGAGTGACCACAAATACCAGTCCAGACTACTATACCCAGCAATCAATCACAATAGATGGAGAAAGAAAAACATCCCAAGATAAAACCAAATTTAAACAGTATCTATCTAGCAATTCAGTTCTACAGAGCATGTCAGAAGGAAAACTTCAGTCTAAAGAGGTTAACTACACCCAAGAAAAATAAGAATAATCTCAGACTAGTAAATCAAGGGGGTTGGGAGGGGACCATAACAAAATAACAGGAAACACTCCTCATTGATAACTCTCAATATTAATAATATCAACCCCCATATATAGAAAAAAAAGGGACAGACTAACAGACTGGCTTAGAAAATAGGAGCTATTCTGCTGAATCCAAAAAACACACCTTACCATCAAGGACAGACATCACCTCAAGGTAAAAGGATGAAAAAAGATACTGCATGAAAATGGACCAAAGAAGCAATCAGGTACAGCCATTTATCTGACAAAATAAACTTCAAACCAAAACTAATCAGGATAGGAAGGACACTACATACTCATCAGAGCAACAATCCACCAGAGGACCTTGTAATTCTAGACCTCTATGCACCAAACACAAGGGTACCCAAGTTCATAAAAGAAATACTACTACAGCTAAAATCACATATTGACCTTCACACAGTGATAGTGAACGACTTTGATACCTCGATCTTGCCAACAAAACAGGTCATTCAGACAAAAACTAAACAGAGAAAAGCTAAAGCTAAATGACATCATAAATTAAATGGACCTAGCATCTATTTACAATTCACCCAAACTCAAAAGAATATACTTTACTCTCAGCAGCTCATGTTACTTTCTCCAAAACTGACCACATACTTGAACATAAAGCATGTCTCAACACAGGTTTTAAAAAAAACTGAAATAACCCCTTGCATCCTATTGACCACCCTGGACTAAAACTGGCTGGCTATCCACTAAAGAAACAACAGAAGGCATATAAACTCATGGAAACTGAACAACTCACATTTTGAATGAACATCAGAAAATGTTCTGTAAGAGAAAACAAAAACAAAAACAAAGCAAAACAAAAAAAAACCAAAGGAGAACCAGAAATCAACAAAACAAGAATCAAACATCCTGAGAGGATCAAAGCATGACTCATACAGTATTCCACTGAGAACACTCAGTCAACCTAGATATAATGATACAAAGAGCTGAGGATATAATTAGGTTGGTTGAGAACTTGCACAAAGCCAGGAATTAGATGCTATGGTCGTTTGAATGAAATTGGCCTTCAAAGCTCATAGGGAGTAGCACTTACTGGGAGGTGTGGCTTTGTTGGAGTAGCTGTGGCCTTGTTGGAGGAAGTGTGTCACAGTGGAGGTGGGCTTTGAAGTCTTCTTTGCTCAAGTCTTGATAAGTGTGACAATCAGTTTACTTCCTGTTGCCTGTGGGGTCAAGATGCAGGACTCTCAGCTAATTCTCCAGCACCACATCTGCCTGCATGCTGCCATGTCCGACCATGATGATAATGGATTAAAACTCTGAATTATAAGCCATCCCAATCAAATGCTTTCCTTTATAAGAGTTGTCGTAGTCATAGTGTTTCTTCACAGCAATAGAAACCCTAACTAAGACAGATGCCCACCACTGCTAAATCTAGGTGTGGTAGTACAGACCTATAATGGCAGCATTTGAAATATAGAAGGAGAAGGATCAAAAATGGAAGGCTATCCTTGGCTACACAGTGAGTTGGAAGCTAGCCTGAGATAAAAAAAAAAAAAAAAGACCCTGTCTCAAAAACTAACAACAACAAAAAAGGAAATCAAACAGCTGAGCATGGTGGCTTATGCTTGCAAATTCAGCACTCAGGATGGCCACAAGTTCAAGGCAAGTCTGGGCCTCAAAGTGATATCTAGATGTTCAACCTAAGCTACAGAGTATATACTGACTCAAAATAACCCACATCAGACAAACCAAGACTTGAAGCATTCTATACAACATACTTGTATTCCTCAAAATGCCTAGAGACAAAAGATCAGAACTAAATAAATGGCCCAGATGAAATCAAGAGTGGAAAGCCAAACCACCTAGATGCTACAACAAGGATTCCAAGGACTGAGGGAAATGGACCACAAAGAACACTGCTCAAAAACAGACAGCAATGAATATGAACTTATGAATATACACAAAGTATTGTAACAATGTCAAATTTCATTAATTTGGTTACTGGACTGTGACTACATAAGAAAGTACCCTTTTCCTAAGAATACTAAAAAAACAGCTGGGTGGTGGTGGTGCATGCCTTTAATCCCAGCACTTGGGAGGCAGAGCCAGGCAGATCACTGTGAGTTCGAGGCCAGCCTGGTTGGTCTACAGAGCAAGATCCAGGACAGGCACCAAAACTACACAGAGAAACCCTGTCTCGAAAAAAACAAAACAAAACACTAAAAAGAAAAAGGAATACTGAAGAATTGAGATTTAAGAAGAAATGAAGTGACACAGTTCAAATGATTCAAAATAATAGCAAGAAAAGGAAAAACTAAATGTGGCCAAATGTTTAAATGTGATCAAATGTTTAAGAACAAAAAAAAAGCAAAAGTCACCCTGGAGTCATCTGTACATTTATTACATGTTCTATAAATTTAAATTTAATTCAAGGGAAACAATTAAAAGTAAAAGAAAACAGACAATGACGACACCAAAAGTTTTCAAATAATCCTTGAAGGGGGGGGGGGGGGGACTAACAATCTAGCAACATTCATTTTGTAAAGAGAGTTGTAAACTTCTGTTACCAGGAATGTTAAACAGTGCTCACTACTGACCTCACACGTTAGACAAACCACAGGATAATGGTTGTGAGAAAGTTCATGCTGGTGTAAACTTAGAAATAAAGTCATCAAGCAACTGGTGGTGTTGCATGGCTTTAATCCCAGCACTAGGAGGCAGAGCAGATAGGTCTCTGTGAGTTTGAGGGCAGTCTGGGCTACACAGTGAGTTCCAGGACAGTCAGGGCTACACAGAGATACCCTGTCTCAATAATAATAATAATAATAAATAAAGCTCTTGAAAAGCAAAAATTATCCAAAGTGATACCTACAAAACAGCAACAATAAAAACCCACAGTCCCTGATCTGCTGAAGAAGGTAATCTATAATTAAATATGTACCCACAAAAAAATATTCAAGTATATTGGGATTCCGGCTATTTAACCTAGATTTTTTTTTCTGTAAGTCACAGACAACTTCTAAAGAGATAATGACAAGAAAGACAGTCAAGATATATTTGTTTGTTCTATAAGCTTTTCCCTCCTTCACGGACCAAGGTTAGAAATCCAAGGGCGGCAAAGTCCTGACATAAATATTGAACTACAGAGAGATAGTAAAAGCCGTTAATCGTTTGACAGGCTCTGCTTAGCTCCAGGGAATCACTCATCTGTTGGATGTGCCAGCCTGTCCCTGGAGTGCCAGGGAACTCGGTGGCATCTGCACTTTCCCCTACCAGGCTCCAGTAAGGCAGTCAGAGCAGGTTAACATTGCACTAGGAAAACACTTGGAAATCTGAAGGTTTTAACGTGGTGATTTGCTGGGGAAAAAAGAATCTTATTCTCAATCAAAGCATTAAAGCTGAATAATGCACATAATTACATTGTTACTAAATTATAATTTTAAAGTTCATATCTAGAAAAGGAAATGTCATTTACATTGATACAGCAAATAGAATTAATTATACTATGCATCAGCAACAAAATTATTAATTTTCTCCAAGTTTTCAACATTAAAATTTCACACACAAAATAATAAATTGTGTTTTCCTTTTCAGATCAGCATCCTCTGATGTGGATTAATGTTGTCAGTACACTCCATAATGAGGACATTTTTTTTTAGATTTCATACCAACATATATTGATACATCTAAGCAACTAAATTTTTATACATACTCTTTGTGCACATGATAATCAGGTAGCAACAGATGACGAACCTGGTACAGAGGAACTTCCATCCACCACAGACAAACCACTCTAGTCCTCTTTTTCTTCGTGTGAGCCTAGCTCGAGGTAATGTGTGGTAATCACTTTCATCATTCTCAAAGCCTTCTTCAGACATCATCAGTGGCATTTCATCTAAATGGGCAGACTCATCCTCCAGCTGGTACCTAGTTAAAGGTAAAAACAGAGAGCTAAGTAGTCTTGTTACAGTGTGTGTCATCTAGGATAATGTTGGGCCAAGTTTTACAAATCACCTGTGGTGGTACAAATGGGAATGGCCTCCAAAGGCTCATGTTTCAATGCTCTGTCCCTTGTTGGTTAAACTGTTTTGGGAAGGATCAGGAGGTGTGGCCTTGTTGGAGGAGGTGTGTCACTGGAAGTGTGCTTTGAGGTTTCCCCATTTCTGGCCCAAAATCTCAATCTCTCTCAATCTCTCTCTCAATCTCTCTCTCTCTCTCTCTCTCAATCTCTCTCTCTCTCTCTCTCTCTCTCTCTCTCTCTCTCCTCTCTCTCTCTCTCTCTCTCTCTCTCAGCCTCCAACCTGCAGATCAGATATAATCTCACAGTTACTACCCCAGTCCCATGCCTGCCTGACTGTTATTAGGTTCCTGGCTATGATGGTCATAGACTCACCCTCTGAAACTGTAATCAAGCCCCCAACTAAATGCTTTCTTTTGTAAGTTGCCTTGATCATGCTGTCTCTCTCTTCATAGAAATAGAAAAGTAATTAAGACATCACCTTTTGTTTTTCTCAAAACTAAGCTACCTTCACCCGAGGCACACCATTGTAAAAAACAAACAAACAAATAAACAAACAAGCAAAAACAAAACAAAACAAAAAGTCTTACATAATGTTGGGTGACTAAATGACCAAGGCTTGTAGCTGGAAGTTTTCCTGTGTCTCGGCCATTTGGTCCCAAATAAACACACAGAGGCTTATATTAATTACAAACTGTTTGGGCTGTGGCTCAGGCTTATTACTAACTAGCTCACTCATCTTAAATCAACCCATTTCTATTTATCTGTGTATCGCCACATGTCTTGTGGCTTTACCTGTTCCATTACATCTTGTTTCTCAGGCAGCGCTGAGCATCTCCTCTGATCCTGCCTTCTTCTCCTTTTCTGTCTGCTTGGATTCCCCGCCTGGCTCTATTCTGCCTCACCACAGGCCATAGCAGCTTCTTTATTAATCAATGGTAGCAACACATATTCACAGCCATCCCACAGCAAAGGCTGTCTAAAACCCAATCACTACATTCAGCTTGATAAGAAAATAACCTGGAATATTACTATTAGCCAAAAATCTACATCTCTAAGATATATTACATAACTTTATAGTCACCAAAGTTCTAGAAAGTGACTAGTGACTTTTGGAAAACATAGTTGTCTGTACAATGAGGGATCTGGGCACCATCCCTGGGTGTGTTGTCAGAGCTGACAATCATGCTATGTCCCATGTATTCAGTGTCTCTGTCATTCCCTTTGCTAAACTAACACTCAATGAAAAAAATCTCAACAACTAGCTAGAAAAATAAGTTTTCAAGCTCAACAGTCTCTCAATGTATGTGCATAAGTGTGTACATGTACATGTATGAGTGCATGTGCCTGTGTGTGTGTACGCACGTGTGCATGCATGCATGTGTGTTACTGGGGACTGAACCTAGGACACTGTACATGCTAGGCAAGTGCTCTACCACTGGGCTATCACCCAACCAGTACTCTTCTTCAAAGAAAAGCAGCCTAGCATCCATACTGTCATGTCACTGTTCTCAATCACAGATGCAATCCAATACTACCTTTTTGATAACAATCAATTTTCCAGAAACTATAATGATTCATCAACAGAATTTCATTTAATTTTACAATGGGCTTCTATGGAATGCATCATCTCCATTTAAAGTTAATGAAGCGGACCTTCATTATTGAAGTTGCTATGGTCAAATGGAAGTCATTCAAGCTGAACTTCCACCCCTTTGTCCCAGATCCATACAAAAGACAAACAGAACCAGTAAGAATCCATGAGTACAACAAGAGACAGAGCACTTAAATTTACTCTCCACATAAAAGAGAAGAAGCATTCCAAACTGACTCAGCTGGTGGGGTGTAGAGGAACATGGAGTAAACATCTGCAAACTTCTCCAGAAGAAAACGGAAGCCCCAAGACAGAGAAACTATCTTTGTAAAAAGCCAAAGGAAAGACCTATACTGACCCAAAACACAGCTCCCACTTCAAAGAGATGGTTTGTCTTGAGTCAAACAGGAGTGACCACTGTCCAGGAACATGGATTATGGCTGCCCATAAAGATATGTTCCACCACAGAGGCAGATACATTAAGATTACAGTCTTATGAAATGAAGAAGTCATAATCTTAAGTCATTGACCAAACCCTTGGAGACCACAGGTAGGCAGCTTACAGCAACACAGGTAAAATCTGCTGTTAGATGCTATCTCATGCTTAGCTTTTAGACTGCTGGAAATCAGTGATCAGCTAAGTAAGCATTTTAAAGGTCTTACCTGTACAAGGAAAGTTAGACAATGAATATAATTCAATATATACACATAGGCAAGTACCCTCTGAACTGTTTCTAATAACAAGGGAAACAGCCCTCAGGAATTAATAAATGAGAACATGAAATCTTAAAAGTTTCTGCCAGCAAAGAACAATCAATAGTGAACACAGACTACAGGATGAGGATGAGCTCGCTTTTGCCAGCTACACTACAGACGGGGTTGTCTACACTACATAAAGAACTGTAGACATCACACACACGCAGAGAGGGAGTGTGCTGCCAGGCAACAAATGAGCTTATGAAATGAACACACAGTCCTCGAAAGCAGAAACACAATGCCCTGTATGTACTTTTAAGTGTTCAACATTGTTAGCCATTCAAAATTACTTCAAGATTCCATCTCACAGCAATCAGAATGGCATGAGAAAAGACACAATAAATGATGTGAAGAATGTGGGACAGTGGAAGTTGTATTCATTGCTGGGAGGAGTGAAAACTAGTTCCGACATTACAAAAATCAGTATGTATGTATGTAGACCACAATGGAACTTATTTCAGCTGTAAAAGAAAAAATGAACTTTGTAGGAAAATGCACGGAATGGGAAAGTATTATAGCACATCAGGCAACTCAGACAAAAACTGCATGTTCTCTTATGTAAGTGGGGACAAGTATGGAGGCTGTAATACTAGAAAGTAGAGCACGAGAGGAGAAGGGGGGCTGGAAAGAGGGAGAGGGCAACAGTAGACATCGAAGTGGGAAGAGGATAAGTAGAAGGGCACAAACAGAGGACAGAGGAGGAGGAAGAACCTTCCAAACTGTTTGAAAAGGCTAATTTTAAAATGCTAGTTTAAAGATGTTAAAATGTTAAAGGGATTAGGTCAGACACACAAGGGGAAAGAAATGACTAGTAATGGCACTAAACCCGTTCAAGATCAGTTGGTGCTGGGGCTGCAGCACCCTACCACTCCATAATCTTGAGGCTCTAGCCAATCATTCAGTTTTGCAGAATCTTGAACACAGCTATGGCTTTCCTTGTTTTCTGGAAACTTTAGTCTATGCCAGACAGAACACTATTCCAACAAAACAAAACATTCTCAGATGAAGAAAAATCAAGACAGCATTTTGTCAGCAGCTCCACGCTAAAAGAATACCAAGCAAGGTTTCAAGATAAAAACAGTATCCAAAGGACATTCAGAATTGTAAGAGCAAAAAACAACAAAAAAGAGATCTTCAGAAGTACGCAGAACTTTAGGTAAAACTGGCAGCACTGTGTGGTTGAGTTCCCACTGTCAGCAAAAGTGAAGACAAACGGCAGCAGTAGAATAAGAAGGTACAAGGCCCGCTAGTTTACATGAGTGTTAAGCTGACAATGTTCAAGGAACGCTGTTAAGTTAGCTATGGATATTGCAACCCTCAGAGTGGGGCTTCTCAACAGGGACATAATTAACATGGTGACCACATACTCCTTCTTGTGAAGTGTTGTCCTGTGCATACAAAATGGATGCACACCTAGTTCTAGGTACTAAATACCAGCAGCATCACCCCTTGTTTTGACAATAAACGTATCCCAACAATGCCTCTGTGCAGTGTCAAAAAACTTCTGGAGTACAAAAATCACTTCTTCAAGGAAGTACCTTAAATAAAGGGATATGTACTGTTAAAAAAGTAAAAAGCCGGGCGGTGGTGGCGCACGCCTTTAATCCCAGCACTGGGGAGGCAGAGCCAGGCGGATCTCTGTGAGTTCGAGGCCAGCCTGGGCTACCAAGTGAGTTCCAGGAAAAGGCGCAAAGCTACACAGAGAAACCCTGTCTCGAAAAACCAAAAAAAAAAAAAAAAAAGTAAAAAATAAAAGAATGGAAAATGACATGATATGAAGACTACTCAAAAGAAAGCTAAATAGCTATGTTAACTAAGACAACTAACATATTCTTTAAACATTTAAATATTTGTATGTACGTGTATATGTGTGTGACTGTGCCACTTAGGTGTGGGAGGCCAGAAGAGGGCATCAGACCCCTTGCAGCTGAACTTACCCAGGGTTGTTAGCAGCCCAACATGTGCTGCAAACTGAATTCCGGTGAGTCATCTCTCTCCAGCCCCCCAAAACAGTTTTTTTGAGCAGCCAGGACTAAAAAGGTCAATAAAATACAAGAATCTTAAACAAGCATGTACCTAGTTCAAAGCACAACAACAGCACTGATACAGAGCAAATGTAAAACTGACAAGCCTTCTCTCCATGTTTATAGAAAAAAAGAATGAGAATCAAAAAAGAGAGAAAGACACACTCAATGCTGTCAAGCAATCTGACCTAAATACTATTTAACTAAAAACAAAGAAAAACAAAACCTCTACCCTACAACAGAATACCATTCTCCTTAATTCACTCACAGATCACATCATGGGTCATGGTACCAACCCTATCAACTCTAAAATAACTAAAATCATACCAAGTATATTTGCTCATCAGAAGGTATTTTTTTAAACAATAACAGAAAGATATCTTCAAAATCCACAAATACTTTGAGGAGGCACAAATCAATCACCAATGGGCCAAAGAGGAAAATCTAACTGCTTACAAAAAAAGACAAAACAATTTCTTTCAAGAATCATATAGACATGGCCTTGCTGACCTGAGTAGCCTGCAACTGTCACCCA